ACCCTGTGAAGGAGAGTCCTCGACGCTTGGGTGCCTTTCATCCTTTCTCCAGGTTCATGGGGTTTCCGGAGGCAAGCTATTATGGAAGTGGATGCCACTGGCAATGTATAAACAAAGCTTGAGTACTACTCTGTGCTAAGATTATGCTCAATTAAGCCCATTAATTTTTGAACTGGTATCTGTCCAGTAGTGCTTGCACCAAAATGTCCTCTGCATCTATTTGAATATAGAAATAAAAAGCAAGACTTTTTGAATGTATTATAAATGTAGATATTAGAGTTTAACATACTATAGTAAAAAAAAAAAGATTTAGTCAGTAACATAATAAACAAAATCAAAAGAGATTACGTTGTTCTTTGTTTTTTCCCAGAGAAAATACAGAATATAAGTGCAAAAATAGAATAATTCAATTTCTATTGGTTCATTTTAAATTGTCCAACGTTAAAATAAACTATTATTTTCACATGTATTATGATAGATAATCATTATTCTGCCATAAACACTCACTTAATTTTTCTATTATTATAGTTGTTCCCCATTGAGAAAAACAGACAAACCAAACTTTCAGCAGTTGGGACTGAAAAAGTAGTTTGGAATAGTATTCAGGCCCTTAAAAAAATCACCTATAGAAATCTATTCCCCCTTTTATTAAATCTGATGTGCCAAATGTGGTAAAGGTTACCCATGGTGGACAGTATTTGGTGGAGCTTCCCGATTAAAACAAGCTTGGAAGCACGGGTGGCATCCACTTCTGAAATGGCTTACCTCTGGAAACTCTACGAACAGTGCTCAGGCCTTTCTTTCATAAAGTCTCTATGAGTCATATACAACTCGATGGCACCTAACAACAGCAGCAACAACAACAAGAATTACTTTGATTTGATGTTTTAGTGGTAAGAAGTTGCACTGCATTCCCAAAGTCACGTGGTTTCTTTAATCATAACAGATTGGCTTTAAATAACCCAAAATTATTTTACAAATCAGTACTTAAAGTTTTCCCCATCTTTATAGCCACCATTCATTTTACAACTCATAAGTTTTCCATTTTTATCTTATTTAATTTACCTACTTATTAAACTTTTCTTATATACAAATAAGGCAAGAGTACACTTTTTCACTGGGATTTAAGAGTTGCGGTAGACTGTTGACATAATCTATGAAGACATTGTGTTTTATTGACTATACCAAGGTTTGTTTTTGCTGTTGTGGTTGTTAGGTGTCATCAAGTACAACTCATAGTGACCCTATGAACAGTGGATCTGAACCGTGTCCTTTCCTGTGCCATCCTCACACTCGCTGACACACCTGAGCCCGTTGCTACAGTCTCTGTGTCAATCCACCTGGTTGAGGGTCTTCCTTTCTTTTACAGACCCTCCACCCTTCTAAGCATCAGTTTTCTTTCCAAGGAACAGCCCTCCTAGCTAGCCAACTATCACATGAATATGAAGTAACTGGCAATACTGTGGTGTAGGTGATGAGCATCTTAGTGCTCAAAATGCCATCTTTTCTTTTTAACACAAGTCTGCCCATTGTAATGTTTCACTTCATTTTTTAAAAATTTTTCTTTATTAGTTTTAATGAAAATTTACAGAGATTTTGGGTTTTCATTCATTCATTGTTGCACTGTTTTCTCCACCCTTATCCCCAGTTCGTTCTTCTTCCCCCCCCAAGTCTGTTTTAATTGTCCACTTGCCACAGTGCTTGTTAAAGCCAGTTCTGATTAATCTCCTTTGTCAGTGTGTCCCTTGCCATTCCCTATCACTCCTCCCTGAGAGAGACTTCACTCTGATTCATAAGGAAAAGGG